TGAAGAGTCACAGAATCAGGAGGTCTCTGCCTCCCAGTCTCAGATTTTTATTCCAAGACCTTACTGATATGGTACAGGCGGGATTCAGGCTATCTCCGATAGAAACCTCTGAGGCTATTTATTCTTCCCTGGGCTCTTTGAAGCCTTCATAGAGTACTCAGGCCTTTCCGTTGCATCCTCTTCTGGAGCAAATTATGTATGCTGACTGGGACCACCCAGACAGGGTTTTGTTCCACCAAAGAGGTTTTCTGTTTTGTACCCCATGTAACAAAGGTTAAGAAATGGGGGTTGCCTGTAGTGGATGCAGCTGTTTCATCCCTGAATAAATCTTTAACATGTCCTGTGGATAATGCCCAGGTTTTCAAGGACCCAGCAGATAAGAAGATGGAGTCTCTCTTTAAGGCCTCCTTCTCCCTGGCAGGTTCTGCCGCACAGCCAGCTGTGGCAGCTATTGGCATTTGCAAGAGTCTTTCTGACTGTGTCAAGCAATGGATTGGAAGACCATCAGGGCAGGGGGAATGCTCAGCCGAGGATTTGGATGATGTTCCACGTGCTTTGTGTTTTTACGTGGTTGATGCTATTAAGGATTCAATTCAGCAAATTTCTCCCTTGGCTCATTATTATCAGTGCACATACACAGGATTTTGTGGCTGAAGAGGTGGTCAGCAGAACTGCCATGCAAAAAATTATTGGCAGGTTTCCCCTTTCATGGGGAATAGCTGTTTAAGGAAGATATGAACAAATCTATCCAAAGGATTTCAGGGGGTAAAAGTACTCTTCCACCCTCCAAGAGGAAATTCAAACGCCCTTCTTTTAAGGTGTCAGGGGCTTTGGTTGCTGGGCCTTCATCTACCAGGCAGTTGTTTCGCCACACACAGTTCCCAGCCTCCAGAGGTAGATCTCCGCATCAAAACCCAAGGAGGCCCTGGTTGCAAAAGTCATTTAAGATAGATCCAAAGTCCGCCTCCTTGTGAAGGGGTGCCCCCACTTGTTCGGATTGGGGGGAAGGCTTTTGAATTTTGTGGCCACATGGAGGGCTCTAATCCAAGACAAATGGATAATTTCCACGATTTCTCTAGGGTACAGACTAGAATTTCGGGCATTTCCCTCTCCCCGGTTTCTAAGATCAAATTTACCAATGAATCCAGAGAAAAGAAGAGCTTTATTTCAGGCACTCAATTGCTTATTGGCTCAAGGAGTAATCATTGAGGCTCCAGCGGGCGAAAGGTTTCAGGGGTTTTTATTCAAACCTGTTTACAGTCCCAAAACCAAATGGGGATGTAAGGTCCATCTTGGACCTCAAGGGGCTAAATCAGTTCCTATGTGTCCGATCCTTTCATATGGAATCAATTCGGTCAGTAGTGGCCTCCCTAAAGGAGGGAGATTTTTTGGCATCCATAGACATCAAGGACGCATACCTGCAGTATTAGGGGCTCAGCATTTCCAGCTCAGGACCTGGGGAGTATCGGTCACAAGTTATCTAGATGATCTCTTACTCAGAAATCGGTTGGTGCCAGATCTGGAGCAGAATGTGATCCTAAGGATGAAGATCCTGTAACAGCTGGGCTGGGTGCTCAACCTCAAGAGTTAGCCCTGGAACCAGTGCAGAGCCTAGAGTATTTGGGGATAGTCCTAGACACGGTTTACGGAAAGGTATTTCTGCCTCCAGGTAAACATTGCACCCTGGGGAACAAGGTTTCCAGTTTGAAGGCCAAGAGCTATCCTTCAATTCACCTCTGTATGAGGTTGCTGGGGAAGATGGTGTCCTTGTTCGAGGCTATTCCCTATGCTCAATTCCACTCCAGACCACTGCAAAGGTACATTCTGTCTGGAACAAAAAGATCCCACCCTGTACTACTGCATATCTTTGTCTCCAGAGTTGCAGCAGAGCCTGAATTGGTGGTTGATAACTCACAATTTGGAGAAGGTAACATGGCCTCAAGGTCCAGGAACTTTCAGCAGTGAGGCTGGCTCTAAGATATTGGACATCCAGGCATGGGTTGGCCTGTAAGGATTCAGTCCGACAATGCCACAGTCGTATACATCAACCACCAGGGTGGTACCAGGAGTTGAGGTGCCCAGACAGAGGTGAACTACATTCTCACCTGGGCAGAGAGATGTGTTCAAGTCTGTCAGAAGTGTTCATTCCAGGTGAGGAAAATTGGCAGATGGATTATCTCAGTTTCCGGCAGTTGATTCCAGGGGAATGGGCATGGCATCACGATGTTTTCAAGGAAGTCTGTCAGCGATGGGGTTGCCCAGATGTAGATCTGTTGGCATCCAGGTTCAACAATAAGGTCGGTCTTTTTGTATCCAGGATAAGGGACCCTCGCGTGGCAGGGGTAGAAGCTTTAGTAATTTCTTGAAACCAGTTCTCACTGATTTATGCCTTTCCTCCAATCCAGTTGCTGCCATGTCTCTTCTGCAGGATTTGGGAGGAGTCTATTCCAGTGATACTGATTGCTCTGGTCTGGCCCAGGAGGGCCTTGTACGCAGACAAAGTGAAGATGGCAGCAGATGGGCTATGGGCCCTGCCTAATCGGCCAGACCTGTTGTCTCAAGGTCCTATACTGCACCCAGCTTTATGGTTGCTAAATTTGATGGCATGGCTATTAAAACCTAGATCCTGAAGGATAGGGGAGTATCGGATTCTGTCACCCTCATCATGTTGGGTGCTAGAAAGGAAGTTTCTAGGAAAATTTATTACAGAACCTGGAAGGCTGGTGTGAGGTTCACAAATGTCACCCACGAAAGTATGTGATTGGCAGGATTCTGTTTCTTCAAACAGGGTTGCAGAAGAATTGGTGCTTTTAAGGGTAGATTTCAGCATTAGCTATTTTTTTCCAGAGGCCCATTGCGTCTCACTCTTTTTTTATAAGGAGTAGTTTGTATGGTTCCTCCTGTCAGGTTGCCTTTGAACTTGGTTTTAGAGGCTTTGCAAAAGCCACCATTTGAACCTATTGGGGAGATTCCACTGGTGCTGTCAACTCATAAGGTGTTGTTTCTAGTGACAATATTTTTTGAGAGAAGGGTGTCAGAGCTGGCAGCTCTATCTTGCAGAGAACCATTTCTGGTCTTGCATTATGATAGGGTGGTTTTGCGACCTCATCCATGTTTTTTACCAAAGGTGGTTTCTGGTTTTCAACTCAACATAGTTCTGCCTTCATTCTTTCCTGGGCCTCAGTCAGCAAGAGAGAGAGATCTCTGCATACCTTGAATGTGGTTTGTGCTGTAAGGGTCTTTTTGAAGACGACAGCACAGGTCAGGAGGTCAGAATCTCTATTTGTGCTGCCAGAGGGGCCTGAGAAGGGGCAGACTGCATCCAGAGTTACTATTTCTCATTGTATCTGCCAATTGAATATTCAAGCCTATGGTTTGAAAGGTAAAGTCTCACCCTTTTGGGTGAAGGCACACTCCACCAGGAGTGTGGGGGCATCTTGGGCAATCCGCCACCAGGCATCAGTGGCTCAGGTTTGCAAGGCCACTACATGGTCTTCGGTTTACACATTCACAAGATTCTACAAGGTGGATGTCAGAGCCGTAGAGGATTCTGCTTTTGGTTGCAGTGTTTTATGAATGGCTGAGAGTAGGTCCTGAGGGCTTATTGATGGTGGCTATCATGGTGTCACCCTCCACTCAAATTTCTTATTGCTTTGGGACATCCCACATACTCATGAATAGCCTGCTGTATGATAAAGAAAATTGGATTTTTGCTACATGCTTACCTGTAAAATCCATTTCTTTGATTACATCACGGGACACAGTGGCCCCACCCCTCTTTTGGGAATGTCATTGCTTGCTACCAAAACTGAGGTACTTCCTGTATAGGAGGGGTTATATAGGGGAGGACTTCCTCTCTGATTGGTTGGCCAGCATCCATTCACCTATAAGTGGCCTATAACCTACATAGTCATGAATAGCCTGCTCTGTGTCCATTGATGTACTCCAAGAAATGGATTTTACAGGTAAGTATGTAGAAAAAATCCAATTTTTCTCAATGGAGGGGTGTGTGGCTCTGCTAATGTGAACGAGAATAACAACCAATTTGACACCAAACATGCCTATGCTATAAAGTAGAGCAGGTGAAGTGGTTACATCAACTAACCATCAACTGGGTTTAAGCTTTGGAATTCATTCTCTAATGATCTTCTGCCATCAGACTTTTAGCTTACATTCAAGGTACTTTCTCTTTTTCACAATCTTCTTCTTTGCTCCTTCACTTGGTTATGATAAAGAAAACTCAGGATAGCATATTACTGCTATTAACCTTAAATACCCTCATGCAAAGCTACGCACACCCTCAATATTAACAACACACCTTAAACAAAGTGACTTTATTTAAAGCGGTAGTAAACCGCATTAAAAAAAAATGAAAAAAACCCTGCAAGGTAAAGGCATAATGTGCTGGTGTGCACTGCATTCTAGCATGTCTTCCTTCCGGGTTTACGAGCTCTGGCCAGGCTGACAGGCCGAGCCACGATGACAACACTGCTCTGGGCCGCAGCACAGTGTTCTGAAGGAACGGCATGGGTATGCGGTTCCTTCAGAGCTCATGTGCGGGAATATCAAAACGGGCTAATATCCCCTAAACAGTTCACGTTTAGAAGATATTAATTTTACCTACAGGTAAGCTTTATTATAAGCTTACCTGTAGGTACAATTATTAAAGAAGAGTTTACAACCACTTTAAGGCATGTTTTGAATATTGAAAGTGCGGCTCATATTGACCATGCAATAAATAGCTTGGTCATTTATTCCAGGTGAGAGCACATCTATAAAAGGGTGCTTCATAACTGGCCATGGTAGATGTCACTTTGCTAAAGGCTTGCACTTAACATTTGTAATGCAATAGTAGTGCATGAAGAATCCTAAGGTAGTAGCGGTAATTCACTGTCTTGAGGGGTTTTTTTTATGTAACTGAGTGGACAAGGTGAGGAAAAGGTTGTGAAAGTTAACTGATCAGGAAGATCTAGAAATCTTTCTGGAGAGGAGAGGATTCTCTTAAAGGGAAAGGATTAACCACTTCCCGACCGGCTGTTGCATATAAACGGCCGGACGGTGGCAGTGCAGGGTCGGGTGGCCTCCCCGCACCCTGCTTGTGCGCGCTCCCTGGACACAGTGAAACACCGATCGTCGGACGGGACCTCTGTACGAGGTCCCGATCATGTGATCACTGATTGGCCAATCAGTGATCACATGCAAAGTAGTAAGCAAGATGTCACGTGTGAAATCTGTGAATGATCACAGAGGTCACATGGTACAAGGCTATTCACAACAGCCTTGTACCATGTGACAAGCTGTGACCAATCTCAGCTCACTCAGTACTTCTCAATGAATGCACACAGAGAGAAAGAGAAATGATTGCTTTTACATCCTATATGGGTGTAAAAGCAATCAGTGTAAAAAAACAAAAACAAATCATCACCCCCCACAAGTAGTACAGTGTCACCATGGTGACACTGTACTGCTAGGGTGACAGTATGTAAAAAAAATAAATAAATAAAAAATAATAATATAAAAAAATAAAATAAAAATGTTAAAAAAAAAATGTTTAAAAATTATAATTTTTGGTTATAAACTAATTTTTTTTTTACTAAAAAGATAACGGAATACATTTTGGCAAAGATTTCCGATTAAATATTATTTATTTGCAAAATTAAAAAAAAAACACTTTTTTTCAAAATTTTTGGACATTTCATTTACATAGCAAAAAAAATAAAAATCCCAGCGGTGATAAAATACCACCAAAATAAAGCTCTATCAGTGTCAAAAAAATGGTAAAAAATTCATTTGGGTACAGTTTTGCATGACCGCGCAATTGTCATTCAAAGTGTGATAGCGCTGAAAGCTGAAAATTGCCCTGGTCAGGAAGGGGGTAAAAGTGTCCGGTCTGGAAGTGGTTAAACAAATCAAGGGTGAAGGTGACAACTCTAGGTTGAATTATTTGGACATCCTAAGGCTCTAAAGTCCATCTATTTAAGAACATAAAGTGTGTTTATCCAAATCCAATTAATTGGATATTTGGGGAGTGAATAAGCGCTGCAGCAGATGATGTTTAGTTTGTTTTCAACTCGCTATATATATGGGTGTGGGAGGTATTAGCAGCTATAGGTTTGACGAAACAAGTAGTATAGTAGCTGACAAGTTTTTTTAGTTATGAAGTTGTCACATTAAATGTCCTAAGCAATATCTGTGTTCGATTTATGTCATCTATAGTCTTTATAAAACCAAAACCTAATGAAAATAAATATGATCTTTAAGTCATTGTGATATTGATATGCATGCAAAGTAAATAGCCATTTACAGACAGACGTACATCAAATGAATTAGACGAAAGATCCCTCGAAGGGATGAATATCAGCGTATTAATTTCTACAATAAACAAAATCTAATTATATTTATATACATGAAAATATCGATATCTGAAAATCATACAACAAATTTCAACATGTTACAAGTCTCTTATATAATGTCATATATTGAGGTTTTCGAATCAAAAGCTGCAAGCCCTATATCTGCAATCCCAAAGGGTAAACTTCAACATGACATGGCAACATTTTTAATATATGACATAGTGTAATGTGTTGATATTTGTTATTATTTTAAATTATGGATATTATTGTGTATATAAATGTAATCAGATTTTGTTTATTGTAGAAATGAATACTCTGATATTCTAAAGAAGTGGAATTGACCACAAAATGCTTCAGGAGAACTAACGAATTTGATGTACAGTGCATTATTGTATACAGGGCTTGTTACCCTATATTGGGTTCTTGAAATATATTTTATTTATACAGTATGTCACTTTTTTAGGTGTTTGTTACCTTTTTTAAGTGAATTACTTTGTACTGCATAAAATCGATTGTGTTTGTGTTTTCTAAACATTTTTCCAATGATGTAGACTACTTCTATATCTTAAAAGTCCCATTTATTCTTAATAGTTTTAGGCTTTATGTTCATTTGGTATGGTTGGAATCCTTATGGCTTCTTTTCTCCTTAAATTTGTTATATCAGATTGTAATATCATTCCAGCCAATATTTTGTTGGTTTTTGAATTGTAAAATCTTGTCTTCTAGAAATATGGATATGGTTTGAATAATTAAGGGGGAGTTAGTTAAAGTATATTACAACATTGCAGCACACCAACATCACATCACATTACAGGGTTCACAAAAAGCTTGGTTACCACCAAGATTAACCACTTGAGCTTCCAAGGTTTTACCCCCTTCATGATCTGGCCATTTTTTGCTATTCTGCATGGCGCTATTTTAACTGGCAAATACTACATCATGCAACACTGTACCCAAATGAAATATATATCATTTTTTTCACACAAATATATCTTTAGTGGTATTAGATCACCACTGTTTTGTTTTATATAAACAAAAAAGACTAAAAATTAAAAAAAAACATATTTTCTACTTTCTGTTATAAAACATATCCAAAAAAAATAAAAAAAATCTAATTTCTTCATAAATTTAGGCTAAAATGTATTCTGTTACATGTCTTTGGTAAAAAAAAATCCCAGTAAGTGTATATTAAAGTGTTGCTAAATCCAGGACCCTGCATTCACTATATCTGGTCTCCCCCAGTACACAGAACATGGAAGAGCAATTATTTTAGTAAATATAAACTGCTAAACACCTTTCCTCATCAGCAGCTAGAGCAGTCTTGTGACTTCAGCTGAACACTAGTTAAAGCTTGTAGGAGGAGTTTTCTTTCTGCTGTAGGAGGTTGCAAAACCCCTGACCTCTGTCTGTACAGTGCTGATTGGCCCTGTGCTGATCACATGCACTTTCCCAAGAAAAAAAAACCTCTCTAGCAATACACACTAAACTGAGCATTTGCAGAGGGGCTACGGGTTCAGTCTGTCTTAACAGCGTGGACATTTGAACAAGAGGAGGGGCAGAGAAGTCCAGGCTGACCTTAATGCACTGTTTAATTGGGCAACTATGAGGCAAATGAGGTTTAATGTTGATAAATGTAGGGTTATGCACTTGGGGGCTAAGAATATGCATGCATCATACATACTAGGGGGAGTACAACTGGGGGAATCATTGATGGAGAAGGATCTAGGAGTTCTGGTAGATCACAAGCTTAATAATAGCATGACATGCCAAGCTGCGGTTTCTAAAGTGAGCAAAATCCTCTCTTGTATTAAAAGAGGTATAGACTCCAGAGAGAGAGATATCATATTACTCCTGTACAAATCATTGGTAATACCTCATCTGGAATATGCAGTTCAATTTTGGGCACCAATTCACAAAATGAACACTTGGGAACTGGAGAAAGTACAGAGAAGGTCAACCAAACTGATAAGAGGCATGGAGGAGCTCAGCTATGAGGAAAGATTAGAATAACTGAATTTATTCTCTCTTGAGAAGAGGAGATTAAGGGGGGATATGATCAACATGTATACATACATCAGTGGTTCATTTAGTGAACTCGGTGTAGAGATATTCACACTGTGGTCATCACAGAGGACAAGGGGGAACTCTACGTCTGGAGGAAAATAACTTTAATCTCCAAAAACAGAAAGGTTTCTTCACACTAAGAGCTATGAAATTGTGGAATAGACTCCCTCAAGAGTTGGTTGTGGTCAGCTCAGTGGATTGCTTTAAAAAAAAGCCTGGATTATTTCTTAGATACACAGAATATAACTGGATACTAACATTTATAGGTAAAGTTGATCCAGGGAATATCTGATTGCCTCTCAGGGGATCAGGAAGGATTTTTTTCCCCTGCAGGAGCAAATTGGATCATGCTTTGCTGGGTTTTTTTGCCTTCCTCTGGATCAACTGTGGGTGTAGGATTATAATTTTTTTTTTTTTTTTTAACGGTTGAACTGGATGGACTTTTGTCTTTTTTCAGCCAGACTAACTATGTAACTATATAAATCAGGATCAAAGATCCTTCTTACACAATGCAAAGGATTAACCCCTTAGGTTTCACATTGAGTTTAACATGCATACTGCATATGCAGACTGATTTTACTGTTGTGGGTTTAGTAACACTTTAATAGGTTTGTGTGAAAGTTATAGCGTCTACAAACTATGGTATATACATTTGAAAATGGATCAGTCCTGATGTACTGACTGCCTATCTCATTTCTTGAGACCCCAAAATGCCAGGGCAGTACAAATGCCTTCCAAATGACTCCTTTTTGGAAAGTAGATAGTCTGAGATATTTAGTAAGAGGCATGGCAAGTTTTAAAGTTGTACTTTTTGTCACGATTTTTTGGAGAATGAAGTGATCAGGTACACTGACTGCTGACAGTATGTAAAAAAAACAAACAACTTTTTATAAAAATTTTTAACCTTTTTTTAACAATTTTTTTACATCCTGTCATCAGAGTAGCTCAGTGTCAAAATTGTTTTTACACTGCTATTGATTGACGATTACTGTAAAAGGAATAGTTTTAACTGTCATTAATGGGTTTCCCATTCATGAACAACTTGCTTATGGTTGTGATCTATGATTGGCTATAGCTAATCACATGGTGCAGGTAGCAAGGTACCATGTGATTGCTGTGGAACAAACCCAGATCACAACAGTAAGCAAGCTGTTCATGAATGGAAAGCTGCTTGAAACCCTGAACAGGCACAATCAGGTTTCTATATACATGACTGAGCCTGCACATGCCAACCTGCCACAGTAAATGTACTGTGGCAAGGCGGCAGGTGGTTAAAAAAGGCAGCAACTTATTAATTCCGATGACCCTAATACACAGATTGGATTCTGCTGAAAGACCAGGCAAACTTTGCCATGTACCTTTAATTTTTAATTGCATTTATTTTACTGTTGCTTATTATCTATTTTGTAATATATTTTCTGTATATACAGTAACTCACAGAATTGAGTACACCCCTCACATTTTTGTTAATATTTTATTATATCTTTGTGACAACACTGAAGAAATGACCCTTTGCTACAATGTAAAGTAGTGAGTGTACAGCTTGTATAACAGTGTAAATTTCTGTCCCCTCAAAATAACTCAACACAGCCATTAATGTCTAACTAAAATAAGAAACTGAAGGCTGCTAAATGCATGTTTTCCCCTATTGCTCTTTTTTCTACTTGGTATAAGTTCTGGCATTTGTACAAGGCATTAAGGTGTTACTCAACCCACAACAGTAAAATCAGTCTGTATATGCAGTAAAGCTTGCTTGTTATACTCACTGTGGAACCTAAGGGGTTAATCATCTTCATTGCATAAAACGCAATGCATGTTAATGTGTGTGTGGTAATGCAACCCATTGGACAGGTATGAAGGGGTACTAAAAAGCACTTACATGACATTAGGCAGAAGCCCTTTAAAGTG